TTTTTGGGTTGGAATTTCGCTCTTATTGTCCAGACTGGAGTGCAATGGCGCAATCTTGGCTCATTACATCCTCTACCTTCTGGGTTCAAGTGATTCTCTTGCCTCAGCCTCCCAAGTAGCCGGGACTATAGTCATGTGCCACCACGCCCGGCTAATTTTGTATTTTTACTAGAGATGAGGTTTCACCATGTTGGTCAGGCTGGTCTCTAACTCCTGACCTCAAGTGATCCACCTGCCTCAGCCTCCCAAAGTTCTGGGATTACAGGTGTGAGCTACTGTACCCAGCTAGCTAGCTTCAGCTCTTAATAAAATGACTTTCCATCCTCCCTTTTGCACTCTGGCTGTGTAAGACTTAAAAGAATATCTCCAGCTACTTTTTACTCATCTAGTTTAAGCTGAACTTTTTAACTTTTTGTTTTTTGTTGTTAAAAAAAAAAATCTACGTTTTGCTTTTAGTTGTTCTCAGGTCTCCTTGGCCCCTCGTTCTTTCATTTATCTGAGTCCATACTGCCTTTTAACTGATACAGTCCACTGCTAAGTCAGCAAGTTGGCCTTGAGAATCCCAGAGACTTTAACGTGGCAATACTGTATATATTTAGGGTTTAAGTGAAATTTGGGCTGACTACTTGCTGATTGTTAAAGTGATAAGTAAATTGTTAAAGTAATAAATAAATGTTAAACTAATAAATAATTTTTTTAAGAGAAGTCTTGCTCTGTCACTCAAGCTGGAGTGCACTGGTAGGATCTAGGCTCACTGTAACCTCTGCTTCCTGGGTTCAAGCGATTCTCCTGCCTCAGCCTCCCGAATAGCCAAGACTTTGCCATGTTGGTCAGGCTGGTCTCTAACTCCTGACTTTAGGTGATGTACTCGCCGTGGCCTCCCAAAGTGCTGGGATTACAGGCATGAGCCACCATGCCCAGCCAGGTTCTTTGTTTCTTGAGTGTATGCTTGTTTTGCATGATTTGTCTCCTACTGGTTCATAGGGATGATCACAGGACCAATTGAAGCAGTTTGCTGGTCCTTGAAAAAGTGGGGTCTGGGTTAGTTACAGGTCCTCATGACCAAGGAGAGTATGAAAACACTCAGTCAAGGCCAAAGTAAGCCGTAGAAGGGAGGGGGGTTCCTTTTGAGACTTTATCAGACTTGTGTCCTTGGTGGAACTTTCTTAATGTTGAATAAATTGATATTAAATAAATTGTTAAATGTTGGGTTATTAATACAGTTGATTTTCTTTTTGGCATTTCATTTCAAAATATACATATTTTTATTCATTTTAAATTATGGTACATTATAGTTTGTTTTTTAAAAACTTATTAGATCATGAAACATTTACGTCTTATAGATTTTATAATTTAAATTTATATATTGAAAGGCTGCAAAAATAATTTCATCAAGTGATGTTACAATTTGCCTAAGTCTTTTTATGTTACATATGTATACTGCTCTCTGGCTGGTTTTCAGTTAACACTTTAATCTACATCATTGTAGATATTGTTATATTTTTTCTAATGGTATCTTTAGGGTAAATTTTGGAGTGCAGTATTGTGTTAGAGGGTATGGCTCCTCACATATATTGTCACACTGTTTTCAAAGGTGTTACACCAGTTTGCGTTCCTAACAGGTATATGAACAGATACCTGTTTCACCATATGTAGGACAGAAACCCATTTTTTCCTCAGAAGTTTTTGTGAATGTAATAGTGTAAAATGGCACTTATATTTCTTTGTTATATAGTGTTGAATTTAACTGTTTGAGCCTCTTTATGGTGAATTGTTTGTTGATAGCTGTTGCTTTATTATGCAGTTAACTATTGTGAGCTTTGAATGATAAGGCTAGTATAACATGGTCAGTAAAAATTGTTCTTAAGAGAATATGGTGGAAATGATAAATGATCTTGGGAATAGTGGTTGAAGGGGAACAGATGGATTATTTCAGGATTCAGTTCAGCAAGTATTTATTGGGCATGTACTGTGAACCACTTTGTATCACAGTGTCTTCTGAGTGGTTCTCAAGTAATTGTGGTGGTATGTGCTGGGTTGAAGCAGGACACTGCTTGAGACTTGCCCATTTGTGGGTTCTGGCTTCTGTTGTCTCTCTGTGGCTGCTTGGATTGCTGAGAAGACCACCACTGTCTAGGCCGTCTTATTTATTTATTTATGTTTTTTAAAGATGGGATTTTACCATGATGGCCAGGCTGGTCTTGAACTCCTGACCTTAGGTGATCCACCCACCTTGGCCTCCCAAAGTGCTAGGATTACAGGCGTTAGCCACCGCCCCTGGCATAGGCCATATTTAACTCATTCAGGGCTTACTAATGTGCCATGGCACACCCTTTGAGAAGCTCTGTTCTGAGGGATACAAAGATAAACGAAGCATCGTTCCATTGACAAAGAACTAATCATCTGTAGAGAGAATGGGGAACCCTCAAATGAAAGGACTAACAGGAATTTAATAGGTGCCATCGAAGGGTGCTATACAAGGTACTTAGGGATTAAGTGGAGGGAGTGATATGCCCCCTTGGGGATATGAGGGAACACTTCAACTGAAGGGGTGGCATTTAAATCACACCACCAGGAAGCTGAGAAGCAATGGGAAGAGGGCATTCTGGAGGGAAGCCTGGGGGTTATGTCAGAAATGTGGGTGTGAGGAAATTGCATATCCAAGTTACCTGGGTCCTGGGGTACATAAAGGAACATAATATAGGGTGGGACTGCCAATAGGTCAGGACTGGGTTTTGGATAGTTTTTTTTTTTTTTTTAAATATTTAACTTTTTGTTATTTTTATGTTTTATAGAGATGGGGGTCTTGCTGTGTTGCCCAGGCTATCTTGAACTCCTGGCCTGCAGCACTCGGCCTTCCAAAGTGCTGGGATTATAGGCGTAGCCACTATGCTTGGCCTTGGAGGTTCTTAAATGTCAGACTAAGGACCAGTATGATGGATTGTAGGGAAGAGAATTTAGAGGCAGAGACTTTAGTTGGGTTGATAGTAGTAGTCTAAGTGAGGGTGATGAGCTCCTGAATTGAGTTGGTGCCATGACAGGGATTCAAGAGATATTTTGGAGGTTGAATGGAGAGATGTGACTAATTAGATGGGGTAGGGTGGGAACAGTTAATTCTGTGTCTCTCTCTTTTTTTTTTTTTTCTGGAG